GAACGGTTGTGACAATGTGCTGTGACACACGTCGTGTGACTGTGGTCTCTCTCCGGGGTACCTTCTTGTCCTGGGCTCACCCTCCTCGTGCCCAGGTGACGGGACGAGATGCCCGCGCTGGGGATGGACGTCACGTGAAGGACGCGGCACGTGACGCAGAGCCAGGCTGCACCTGACCTTCCGACCTCGAGTCAAGGGGAGTCAAGTCCTCTGCTTCCCGTGGGGAGCCCGATGGCGGGTTAGGAGGGACTACTGTCTCCTTCAAAAGAAAAAGAGAAGGGAGAGAGGAGATGCTTTTGGGCGTAAGGAGGGGAGGTGACGAACTGTGCTGGGCTGCAAACGCATCTGTGACACACCAAAGTCACACCAGTTTCCAAATTCAAACATGACAAATTTCATGATCTTTAAATGCTTCTACTTTAAATGCTGATGATCTTTAAAGAGTCCAGCAAACCCTGGTTCCTAGCTGCGGTGTAGGAGTTGGGGCAACTCAGTGCATGGGGGAGAGCCTGCCTTTTGCCCTCCTTCCCAGGCCCCGGCCTCGGCTGGCTCCCCAGCTTGGCGGAACCCTGTGCTCCTGGGAAGCCAGGGGGCTGGGCAGGTGGGCAAGCTCCCCCTGGTGCCCCCAGGGCCCACAAGCTTTCTTTGTCAGCTGAGGTTCTGCTCGGTCCTGCTCCTAGGCCCACGAATCTATTAATTCATGCTAAAGTGTGATGGACTACTCAGGGAAAGATGGAGATTCCCACTTGAACAGAGGGCATTCTTTAAGTCCAAGTGAGTCACATTCTAATGCAGGGATTTCAGACAGGGACATACCATGGGTGCATGCAGGGATGGTATCAGTGAACCTTCTCGAGCCCCTGCTACCTGCTGGGCCTTATGCTACACACTGATTTGGTCAAGGGTTCCAGATCTATCCAGCTGGGAGGTCAGAGCCCTTGGACAAAGCCCCTCTGGTGGTGCAGTGGTTCTGTGGGGTCACCAGGCTACAGGAATCTACTGGGGCCACGAGGATATTTCCTGGGATCAGAACTGGGCCCTTTGAGATGCCCCCTTTGGTCATCTGTGGATCCCAGACATTCCTCAGTGGTCCCCGTGAGCCAGCTGGCACTGGGGCAGGCCCAGGCTGGCTCCTCTGAGTCACTTGGGGAAGGCGTCCACTATCTCTGGGAGGGGGTGGCTTCTGCTGGGGCCACCCCGAGTACACCAGGGGGAAGCTGGTTAGAAGTGGTCGGTTAGGGCTGTCCTAACACAGGTGGAGTGCGGAAGTGACTTAGAACACGTGCTTTTGGGGTGGGGGTCCGGGCTACTGGGGGAATTTTCTGACTCTACCCTCCCAACCTGGGGGCCTCCCCTGGATTTTGTCAGCTGAAGGCCTGTCCCTGGGGTTGAAGGGGGCCTCCCTGGAGGACAGTGCGACAGCAGAGTGTGAGCGAGGCAGGCCTGGGGCAGCGTGGGCAGGGCTGAGGCCCGGGGCGGGGTGGGTGGGGGTGCAGTAGGTGAGGGAATCACATGGGGGCGGGGGGTTTGCACCTGCGTCTGGCCCTGGCTGCAAGCCTGCAGCCTCACTCCGCCTGCCAGGGGCTTCCCTCTAAGGGGTTGGAAGAAGGCGGTGCCCTAGGCCAGGGGGTGCCCCCACTCCCCTCCAGCCCTCCCTCCAGGCACTGAGCTTTGTGTTTCCCCGACCCCCCTTCCCACACCTCCTCACTTGAGGCAGGCAGATAAAAGACAGGAGCCCATGCTATCTGGATTTCAGATTTGCAACAGCTAATGCTTTAGCGTAAGTGTGCAGAGCTCTTTGTTGTGGATCTGAAATTCAAATCAACACATCCGGCAACCCTCCCTGTCCCTTCCCAGGGACATGACTCTGTGGGGGAGGGGGTCCAGGGGAGGGCCCAGCTCTAAGAAGCCACCCAGCTGTGTGGAAAGGACAGGGTGGTTGGGTGGGGGCGCTGGAGGGGTGTCGGCCCGAGGCCTGGACCCCTGGGTGTGTTCCCTGGAGTATCCTGGGTGGGGCCGACGTGAACAAGCATAAGACGCCCAGGCCAGGCCAGGGGTGACCCTGCTCCCCCGGCCTTACTGTCCCCACCGTACAGACGAGGGAGACCAGGCTGGAGGCGGGGTTAGCACAACTCCCAGTGCTGAATGTAACAGGCATAGCATACGGGTGTAGTAATGGACCACGGCCAAGGCAGAAATCAGAGTGATTTCCCGGCTCTGGGGGAAATATTGAGCCATTGGTACCCATCAATTTTGGTACCCATCAATTTTTTGCAAAGACTTTTTCTTTAAGGAACCAAATGATCACAGGACGGACACTACCCCTCAGTGCCCCATCTGTGGCCCCCATGGCCCCCAGGAAGCCCTGGCTGTGCCCCGGAAGTTTAGAGGCCTGTGGACTGTGGAATCACTAGGTACTGCGACTCCCCTTAGCCTGTGTGGCACTGTGCACTCTGGGCCAGGTGGCCTGGGGGTCCCCCTGCCCCATCTGGCCTTTCAGAAGCCTGGAGCGATGCTGACATCAGAGCCCCAGTGCAGGCCGTGAGGAGCAGACTGTGCCCGGCGGGTCTCGAGGAATTTCTGCCCACACCCATTCACCCCCATGGTGCCCTGGACTCAGGAAGGATATTCCCTGCAGAAGCCTGATGCGCAGGGGTTGCTTTGTGTCCTTTCAACCTTATGTGTCTGCTTTTAACATTTATCAGGAACGCCAGGCTTGGTGACAGAGGGGACGACGCAGGCCCAATCTCCCCGTCTCCACGGAGTTCATCCCAGAGCAGCGGCTTCTCTGGTGTCTTTCCTGCTTTTCCTTCTCTTTGGAGGCTGTCGTAGATTCACACGCAATCGTAAGAGACAACGCGGACCCCATGCTCCTCACCCAGTTTCCCCGTGGGAGCCGCGTACAGGACCCACAGCGGGACCACAGCACAGGGGCCGCCTGCACTCGCGTGCGAGCGTGGGGCGGGTGCCTAGTTAACGTTCTCATCGCAGTCAAATACACAGAATCTCCCCTTTGACCTTAAGTGACACCAGGCACGGTCACGCTGTGCACCTGTCACTGCCGTCCAGCTCTACCCCTTCACCTTCCCAAACTGAGCTGTGCAACCCGAGAAACACGAAGTTCTAGGAGATTTTACCTAGACACACATACCGTCCTGGCACAGCGCACATCACAGGTGCCTGTTGTCAGAGAACCCCGTGGGGGCAGGAGTCGCTGCACAAGCCAGGTGGCTGCAGGAGCCGAGACAGGCTGACAAGGCCCACAGTGGGCCCCGCGGGGAGGCCTCCCCAATTTCACGGGGTACCTGGGGAAGGGCACGCGGACCACAGGGAGCGCTTAGTGTGGCCCAGAAACAGCTGGCGCGGGGGAGGGGCAGCGCGAGCGGCCAGGCCAGGGGAGGAGGGGCCTTTGCTCCAAGGGAGCAGGTGGCCCGGAGCGGGGAGGGAGGATCTGGGATGTGCAGGGGCCACACCACGCATGCTGCTGGCTGGAGAGAGGAGGGGACTGGCACCCTGCAAAACATACATGATGTCGAGGTAAAAAGGGGGCTATCCTGGCTTGACTGGCCGCTCCCCCGTTCATATACAGCAGAACCTCAGGATGTGACCTTATTTCGACTTGGAAATAGGTCCTTTGCAGATAGAATTAAAGATCTCAGAATGAGGTCGTCCTGGCTCAGCGTGGGCCCAAAGTCCAGTGACTGGTGTCCTCGTAGGATGAGGGGATGCACAGAGAAGCCACGTGACCGTGGAGGCAGACCGGAGGGGCATGGTGCGAGCCCAGGACCCCTGGGGGAGACAGGATCCCCCGACGCCTCCCGAGGGGGCACTGCCCTGCCCGCACCGTGATGCTGGACTTGGGGCCTCCAGAGCTGGGACGGAATGAGGTTCTCGTTGTAAGCCCCCAGCGTATGGACTTTGTCACGGGAACCAACTCTCCCCGTCACGTCCCTGGCCTGCTCCCCTCTCAGGAGGGCACTCGTGTCTGGGTGGAGCAGGTCTGCTGTGGCGCTGCAGGGCCACAGGGAGGGCCTCCGGGCCCCACCACACCTGGGCTGCCTGCCAAGGAGCCTGAGGCCGTTGGCCCCAGATAGCTGAGCTGGGCGCATAGGAGAGATCAGGGTCTCGAGGCGCCCGGATGGAGAAGCCCCATCCCCAGCTCACTCTGCACCTGAGCTACACACCGACATGGACCCCAGCCCCACATTCCTGGCTTGAACCCACAGTGTGGCCCGGACCCTGTGCGGACAGTGTGGACAGCGTGTTTTTGCCTCACCCGGGCCTGGGGAGCTGCAGGCTGGAGGCCTGTCGGTCCCCACCCTACATTCTGCAGGTTAGGACAGGTCACCGGTCAGCCCGGGCTAAAGGCAGGGACAGAGTCACCTCTAGCAGGACAGGACGGGACAGGACAGGCAGCACAAAGCTGTGGTCATCTGCGGTTACCCTCGCATCTCAGGGCAGGTGGCCGACCTCCCCGTCCTCCTCCTGGAACTGCCATGTCCACTCGCACCCACCAGGCTGGGAAAGGCGTGGGGGACAGACAGGCCTCTGCAAAGACAAAGGGAGGGCAGCCAGCTTCCCCAGAGGCCAGCAGAGCAGGGCCACCTCTTGGGGTCGGGTGGGGACAGAGCTGAGGGCAGGGGTGCTGAAGGCACCCTCAGGAGCCATGCCGGAGCCTGGAGATTTGTTCTTTGGAGCAAGTGGGTGCAGGCGCTCTGGAAGTGGGGGTGCCAGGCCTTAGGGCCAAAAGTGAGCGGATTTGGGGAGCGCAGCATCCTGAGGCTCAGGCCCCTGTCGTCACAGCCACTTCCAGAAAGGCCATGAGGAACCAAGTGACAGCCACCTCGACGGGAGGGACTGCAGCAAGGGGCAGAGCCTGGGGGGCAGCCTGCACAGGCCACATGGGAACCGCAGGCGGAGAGCACGGGAGAGGGAATCCTCAGGGCAGAGGGGGACCGGGGGCTAGAGCATCTGGGGAAAGAACCGACAGGGAGGGACAGGGGTTAGTTAGGACAGACAAGGGCAAGTGGCCCAAAGCAGAGGTAAGCTCCAAGGAAAGGATGGGCCACACAGAGGGCTGGACGCCTTGTGTAGGTCCCAGACGGCACGCATCTCCCCTATCCACAATCATGAGAGGTGGCCCTGGTGTGGGGCTGGCACGGGAGGGGGATGGCACCGGGGCCTTGGCCACTCAGCGAGCCCTCCCGCCAACCACGTGCCTTTACGAGATATATTTTTCTTAAACGTCCGTTTATTTTGAGAGTGTGTGCACATAGAAAGGGGAGGGCCAGAAACAGAAGGAGAGAGAACCTCGAGCAGGCTCCTTGCTGTCAGTGCAGAGTCCGATGCTGGGCTCGATCTCGTGACTGTGAGATCGTGGCCTGAGCTGAGATCAAGTCAGATGCTCAAACCCATTGAGCCACCCAGGCGCCCCTCAAGATATTTTCAAACTAAAAGAAACTTAAATGTACCTAACATCGGACACCATTCCTTTCTTCGTTCCATAAATATTTATCAGAGCGTCTTCTGGGTCAGGCCCTGAGGCTGCCGGGGGCCCGGCCGAGAGCAGAGCAGACGCGGGGAGGCAGCCAGTGTCGCCCCTGTGCAGAGTACCGCGTGCCGGGGCCCAGCCAGAGATGAAAGGCCTTGATAATTAATGCCGCTCTACGAAAGCCTTTGTGGTGGCCCCAGAGAGAGCAAAGAGATCGCAAAACCCATCTGTGTTTCCAGAACACAAGGACCTCGGAAATTATCAGACATTAAAATAAAGCTGCAGGCCAAGGACTCTGGTTCCAGCGCAGATGTGACGGAAGTTCAGAACGGAGCTGCTCCTGAGGGCTCAGGTCAAGTTTATCATCTGAGGGGGCGCCCGGAACCCAGCCCCCCAGGTCCAGCAGCCGGCGGCGGGGACCCCCGTGGCTAGTCCCCACAGGATCCAGGGCCCCCTGCTCCCCATCCACTTTGTCCCTAAAGGGTCCTCAGGGCCGTGCCCCAAGCGTCAGACTTTATCTGGGGGGAACACAAGTCTGAGCCCTGAGTTAATAAGCCGCACGCGGCCGGGAGCCAGCCGCGTCCCCGGGTCGGATATTGGGTGCATTCAGTCGTGACGCAAGCGGCTCCGCGCAGCACAGCTCCGTCTGGGAACAACCGGGGAGGCGTCGCCCTTCCTGCTGCTCTCAGACGGGGGCATTCGAGAAGAGCCTCGCGCCTGCAGGCGCACCCGGTCCCCGCGCCCTCCTGTCCCCTCCTAGGGAGTGCGGGCCTCGGGGGCGGCTGCCGGCACTGACGGTTCCGGTGTGGGGGCTCCTGGGCCCGCGCCTCCCGCTCGGGCCCGGGGTGCGGTTTTCCGCTCAGCTCATCAAGTTGAACGCTCAACCCCTCTCCTGTAATGGCCTCCTGAGAGTCCCTCGCCGATAAAGAACACAACTTGGCTCTATGAACCATCCTCCCGCCAGCCAGGCTCTGAAAGCCTTGAAGTCTACAGGCCGGAGAGCAAACAGACCTTAGCCTCACCTGCTACGTTCTTTCTCTTGATAAATCTCACACTGCCAGCAGAGAGAGGAAGGAAGGAAGAAAGAGAGAGAGGATAGAAAGCCTCCCTGTAACCTAGCCCATGGCAACTACCAACCATCCAGTAACCTCCAGTCTTATGATGGAAACTCCTACAAACGCAGCAGCAAGCGCCCTCCGCGTTCTCCCGGTGGCCGCCGACAGAGCTGGCCTTCAGGTTAAGCCAGCGCCCCGCAGCAGAGACGCAACAGCCCTAACCTCAGGGGAGGAGTCGACCTTATTGCCCCACCGACCGCATTGGAATTGGCTGGGACAGGCCGGCCTCGTGCTGCTCCAGCTCCCACTTCAGGTCCTCAAGCTGAGTCCACGGCTCTGGCTCCGAGAGATCCACCACGAACAGGAGGAAGCGGCAGCGCTCGATGTGCCTGAGGAAGGCGCTCCCCAGGCCCCTGTTCCGGTGCGCGCCCCGGACGATGCCCGGGATGTCCGCCACTGCAGGGGGAGACAGAGCAAGGGGGCTGCCTCGGTTCCAGCGGGGCGACCCAGCCAGGCCTGCTGCCCGTCGGGCACCGTGGCTCTGAGCTGCCAGAGGAAAAAGGGTATCTTGAGGGACAGGCTGGTGAAGCTGGCCAGCCGAACAGTGAACACACGCCAGCCTCTGGCTGTAAAAATGATTCAGAAAAGGGGAAAACGGCCTCCTGTAAACTGTTAGGAACCGGATTGCTGACAAATTATTATAGAGCACTCTGCAGATGCAAAGTGCTATGCGAGTAACGTGAGCGGCGGGCTCACTGCGTTTAATGGGCACCTTCCCTCCAGGGGAAAAAGTTTTCTTCCCTCGAAATGGCACGGGGAAAGCTCTGAGGTCACGTGTCACCTCCGCGACAAATGCCGAGGGGGGAGGCAGGCCTTCCTCGGGCCCGAAAGGAGCACACGACTCTCGAGTGCACTTTGACAGGGGCTGCAGCAAGGCCGCATCTGGGGGGGCGGCTCTGAAGGCCGACAGAAGCACGGCTCCGAAGGACACTGTCTACACCCAACCTCGGAGAGGACTATGAAGTTCCACCTGCTATCTGTTGGTGATCGTCACAGCGAACAATCCCAACGTGGGGCTTTAAGGTGGTGAACGGGTAGGACGCCACGGCAGGCCTCGCGTTCGAAATGGCCCGGAGAAGCGAGGACTTCCCGGCATTGGGGAACCCAACCTGGAAGAGAGGCAGAGATGGGGCGTCACCGCGGGGCGCCTGTGGCAGCACCGGGGACAGAGCGTCTATCGGTCGGCAGTGCCCACACCCCCTCCTCCTGCCTGGGGCCCCACACGATACTCACCATCCCGGCGTGGGCCACCGTCTGGAGCTCCAGGAAGAGGACACGTTCCTGACCGGGCTGCCCGGGGGTACAGGTCACCGGTGCACGGTTGTCATTGGCCAGGAAAAAGCGGTTGCCTTTTCCTCCCGCACCTCCCCGAGCGGCGACGTACTCCGCGCCCGGGCGGGACAGGTCAGCCACGACTTCACTGCCCTCCTTCACTAAGGTGCCCACAGGGACCTGAAAATAATGAAGCACTTGCGGGGCTGGAGGGCAGAAACGTTGAGTGGACCAGACCCCATGCATCTGTCCGTGTCTAGAAGAGGGGGGTGTAGCAGAGGGAGGGAGCACCACTAGGTCCCCCTTCACAGAGCTACGAAGCACCAAGAGAAAAGTCCCGACCTTCACAGGGACTTTATGGGGCTGTCATAATCCCTGCACGGCATTCAGATGGCTTCTTCAGTGTTTCTAAAACATTAGGGTGGATGGAAGCATCCGGAAAACACTGGGATAATCTGAGAGAGAGATGGCCTGGGTCAGGACAGAGGAAGAGCGGACCCCTGGAGTCCCGCTATTTAAAAAAAAAAAAAAAATTTTTTTTAACGTTTATTTATTTTTGAGACAGAGAGAGACAGAGCATGAACGGGGGAGGGTCAGAGAGAGGCAGACACAGAATCCGAAACAGGCTCCAGGCTCCGAGCTTATTAGCACAGAGCCCGACGCAGGGCTCGAACTCATGGACTGTGAGATCATGACCTGAGCCGAAGTCGGCCGCTCAACCGACTGAGCCACCCAGGCGCCCCTGGAGTCCCACTTTTTAAATACAATAATTTTGTGATTTTTGAGAACGGGTCATACACACGTGTGAGATAAAATTAGGACCAAGTCTCGGTCTCGGGCAGCTGTGTGTCCGAGCCAAGGGGACCCCTGTGAGGCACCCCCCGAGGCCACGACAGGCTTACCCGGATGTAGAGGACAGCGCCGCCTCGCCCGGAGCAGTTCTTCCGGCCGCCGGCTTGCCCGTGGAAACCCTGGTACCGCGACAACACAGAGGACAGCGACTTGACTTGCTGGTCAGCTACAAGTCAGAGCAACGACCTTCACCATTGTTGGCTTAAAAGCAGAATTCTCTGCACACTGTCCACTTCCTCTGGTTGGGTTTAAGGACATTAAGAATGCTCGCGCACGGAAACATGGAATGAAGTCATGGCACAAGTTACCGAGCGAGCAATGGGATATTTTAATTTTTTTTTTTAAACATTTCTTTCTTTTTGAGAGACAGAGTGCGAGCAGGGGAGGGGCAGAGAGAGATGGAGACACAGAATCGGAAGCAGGCTCCAGGCTCTGAGCTGTCAGCACAGAGCCCGATGTAGGGCTTGAATTCACGAACCGTGAGATCATGACCTGAGCCGAAGTTGGACGCCCAACCGACTGAGCCACCCAGGCGCCCCGCAATGTGACATTTTAAAAAGCTAAATTCTCACTTCCTTTCAAAAAAATACAATTTCTGAAAATTCAAAATCACCTATAATACCATCATCGATGTAAAAATAGTTCCACTTTCGGGTTTGCCTGGGCGGCTCCGTCAGTTAAGTGTCTGACCCTTGGTATCGGCTCAGGTCACGATCTCAAGGGTTCATGAGCTCGAGCCCCACAATGTGGTCAACGCAGCCCACAGCCTCCCGGCACGTACCGAGACAGCAACACCGACCTTGTTGTTACGTGCTGGACTAGAACGCTATACTCCCTGAGAGTAAACGCACTTTGTACCTCCTCAAATTTAGAAAAATCCACCACTGAAGTTGGTTCAGGGGCATTAAGTACGGACACACATATAATTTAATAAAAATGATGTCCACACGTCAACATTTGAATTCAAATTCCCACGCGGATAAGAAGCTGGAGACGCTCCGCCCCAAAGAGGAGCAGACACCCCGATCCTTCCCACACGGCCCCTGGGGACACGTGCCTTTCAGGATGACATGGCCACCGTCACCTCCATCACCACCGTCGGGGCCTCCGAACTCCTTCCGGGGCTCACTGTGGAAACAGCTCACCCCATCGCCTCCACATCCCCCTCGGATGAGCACTCGGCGATGGTCCACAAAATGCCTCTTCTGCAGAGAGCACAGCGAGCCGGCTCGTTACTCCCTCCGCGATCCTCGCGAGGACCAGGCAGCCATGTGGAATGTGCCTTTTGTATCTATGACAGGTTTTAAGACTAGAGGTAAATGACGCTAAGGTTACTAATCTCGCCTCCAGTGCAAAAATAGGAAAAGGTTCCCACGAGCCCCGACTACTTGTAGGCCCACGTCAGTCAAGGCACATGTAAAAAGTGGTCAGCACAGAACTCAGTTGGATAACAAAGTCAACATTCCCGAACTAAAGAAAATGAGAGTTGTTTAGAGAACATTCCTTAAACAAAGCATCTTTCCATGTTTTTTCAAATAGAAATACGTTACTGAAATAACAGGTCTTTACTAATGGAAAGACACCATAATGAATGCGAGAGTCCTTGGTGGATTACCAGGCTTCTAACTTTAAAGAAAGAATGTTTTCTGCAGCCCAACTGAAAAGGGCTTATGTTTATTTATTTTTTAATTTTTTAAAAAAAATCTTTATTTTTGAGAGAGAGAGACAGAGAGAGAGAGAGAGACAG